AATTAAAACGTCCGGGTGCACCGTGGTACGGGTATTTATCATCGAATTTGATATGACCTTGGTATCTTTCAAGCTCTGCCTGATGCGCGGAGTCTGGTAAAACTTGAAAGTTCAGTAATTTGCAGTTTTTGCCTTTATTTGTGGTTATTTTCAATCGTTGTGATTCTTTTTTGCAATCTACAGGTTTAAGATGCAAAAATCTTTCTTTATTGCTTGGTAAAAGACTTCATGATCGAGTCTGTTTTCAATTCCATTTGCGACTTGCGAGCAATGTACTTTCTTTTTTGAGATTTTTGCTGTAAATGTATATCCTATAAGTGTTGTAGCTCGTGCTTTCGAGTAAAGTGTTGATACTAAAATTGTTGATTCTATCTTTTGTGGTTCGGGTTCACATTGTGTTACTTGATTAATTGCGTAATTATGCAAAATGTTTTGTTGATTTTCTTTACAACCATAATGTGTAACTAAGAGGTCTTGTAGTCTTGTTCGGGGAAAGATTTTTATGAGATGTGGTTTCTAAGAGTACAAAGGGGTAAAGTGTTTTATGAAAAATAACTATTAAAAGTTACATGTGTAAGATAATCCTGAATATGAGTTGTAGAATGTTATATATCATATAGTCTTTTTTAAATATCTATCGTATTTCTAGACAAAATCTGTTGTGATGAATGGAGGAAAAAAGATTGAGCTGTTATATTTGGTGGGGCTAGATGCAGTGGTTGATGGTTTAAACTTTTAATTTTTACTGTTTTTTCAAATTTAAGTGTTAAGTTATCTTGAGTAAGGATTTGTATATTATGTTCTAGTAATTCTTTGTGAATGTCGTGTCTTCTTTGTAATCGCTTTAATGCCCAATTCTGTAGTCTATTACTATCAAGATGTTGGCCAAATTTGGGGAAGGGGTGCAACAAACGTTTTCCAGTATAATTGTAAAGGAACATTTGTGCTGAGAAGTTATCGATGTCGATCGTCTAAACTTGTAAGGAAATTTAGGGAGAGCGTAGTGCTTTGAGTTTGACCTGTTACTGAAGTGGTTAATGGTAGTGATAGGGTTTCTGGCAAGGATAAAGAGGTATTGGATGAAATCACTATTTATTCGTTTTCTAAGTTTGGTTCCTTGTGTCAGCTAATGAGTTTGTTTATGGCTTGTGTCAGCTAATGAGTTTGTTTATGTTTGGAAGTTGGTGTTAATCCTAAATAGACCGATGGGATAATTGGGGTATTTTGTTGAGACATTTTTTGTAGTGATGGGGGAGTACTTTGAATTGTATTGCTAGAAGATCCAAAGGGCTCGAAGAGAGTGATGAAGGTATATATACCAAAATGAACTCTGGGTATTGCAAAGTCTCGACTTCATCGAGGATGGATAACTTGGCGATAATCATAAAGCAAAAATCTGAAGTAAGGGGTAAAGGTTATATGTTGGTTCTTATCGTGGTTCACTTGGGGGTGCTTGACGAATTGCTGCTATCAAAGGATGGTGCGTGTCTTTTTTTGAACTTATAGAGATTTTCTTAAAATGAAATACGTGTAGATGATTGGGGTTAACTTTTTTGACTGTATGTTGGTGTTGTTGGAATTAGTTTTTGGCTGTTTTTAATGTTAATAGCGAAAAAATCTTAATTAAGTTTTGAAAAATTCTTTCTGTTTGGACGCTTTTGCTTGTTTGATTGTCGCGTTTTAGATATTGGTCTATATGTTTGGTAATCCATTTGCGAATATTTTGGGACAACAGGTGGTTTTATTGTTGATTGAATGGTAGTCTTTGGGAATTGAGTAATTTTGTTATTCTGGAGTTGTAAGTGTAGGGTGATTAAAAAGATGCTTTGTTTTGTTGTTGTAGGCCTTGTTTCAACTATTTACTCATCAATAAAATGTGATGGGGTTTTAATATCTTGTTTTGTTAGACTTTTTGTTTCATTTAGCGTTTCTTGTGTGTTTATAAATTTGAAATTAATCTAAATCCTGTTCTATCAATAAACATTGTGTTATAGTTTAAAGGTGTTGCATCAATAGTATTTGAAAAATTCTTACGTAATCCTTGAGTAATGAAATAGTGGGGATTGCTGCAAATGAAATGTCAGTGGTTGTTTTAGTAAATAATGGTTGAGATCATTCGGGTCCCAAACAAAACCTGTTTGGTTGGCTAATACAGTTTCATCGTCTGAGGTTTATGGTCGAAAATTTTTTCTGGATATTGAATGAATTATGAATTGTTTACAAAAGAATCTATTATGGACCATGATAGGATTCGTTGTAAGTCATGTTTTACATTTTGTGATGTTTCGTTACTAGTGATATTTTCAAGGATTGTTTCTAGAAGTTTTGAGAAAAGATCAATTTCTTTTCTTACAGTTGAGTGTCGAGATGTCTGAGGTGGCGATTCATTTGATGCGTCTTTTAATTCTAATATAGATATAAAACTATAAATAGAACAGAAAACATCGTTTGTGAAGATTGAAATTGCTCTTTGTGAATTAGGATGTCATATATTTTTTATGTATTCTATGAAGATTTTTCAGAATTCTTGATATACATCATCTGTTTGTATTTGATGCCGTGTTTGATTTGGTTGTGCTGGTAAAATAACAATAGTGAATATTCCGTAATATGAAGTGATTTTACCAATGTTTTTTATGAAATCAAATATTTGTCTTTTTATTCTTATTTCGGGAAATTCCTGTGTGCATGGACTATTTCCATTTTCGAATGAATTTTCAATTAAGTTATGACAAAACTGTACTGAGTAAATTGTACTGAGTAAATTGTATAGAGTAATCGTCGAAATTTTTGTCGTATTGTATATTATTTTGTATTCTAAAACTGTTATTGTGTAACTTTCAATGTGTATTTTTGGCTGATTCCCATTATATAGTTGTACCGGTTTATTAATATCTGATTCTATAATTTTGCGTTTACCCTTAGTTGATAATAGTGGTGTTGTTTCTGAGTTTAAAAAAAAAAACATTTCTGTTGGTATATTGGAGTACTCTTATTTATCGAATCTTTTGGCTCTTGAAGCTCTTGTACTGTAGTTGTGTCCAATTCCGAAACTGCGTTACGTGTTTTTGCAAATCTTCGTTTTTGTTTTGCTATTATTGTCTTTTTCTGTGTCTGTCTTTTCTATTTTATTTATCTTCTTGTTTGTTTATGTGGTATAATTAGAAGATCGTATCTTTTGTCTTCAATTAAATAATTGGGTAGCTTGATTGTTTGTTACAGTCTAAATTAAATTCTGACATAAGGTTTAGGATGATGGTTGCAAAATTCGGAGGTTAGAGTTTCTATTTCATAAACTGTTAGTTCTTACGGTTTTTGTGTGGTTATCTTAACTTGGGGCATAGACGGGTTGGAGAGAGAATATATCAACTCTAAGAAAAAATTTTCTTACATAGGGGTTTGATTTGTGATCAAGGGTTTGAGAATAGTAAATCAATCCACAAGTTTCAGGTAGAATTAGAATACAAGTAGATCGTTAGATACTATTTTAGTACTTGCTAAAATTTTAAGGGTTTTAGCCTGGGTCAACTAAGAGGAGAGGCTCAGGTGAAAGATGAGTAACCGAAGGTCTTCACTGTATATCTTAATTATAATGGTTAGTTTTCCAACAATTTCTATTAGTCCTGAGTTTTTTTATAAGAGTTGGATAGTGAAACGTTTGAGGTCGTTAGACAATTCAAATTATGAGGTGGGGAGGACCAAGATGTTCTGATTGATCCAAGGAAAGTCTTGATGATCAGTTAATTTAAGTGAAATTAAAGATCCAAGAAAAATTTTGATGGTCTGTTTTTAAAAGTAAATATATATTTTGAGAGGGCAAGGATAGCTGTGAGAAGAAAAGTTTTAATAAGAGATTTAAGTTTAAAAAAAATTTATGGATTTAAAATTATTTTAAGGAGTATAGTTTTAAATGATGTTAGTTTTTTGAATAAATTCGGTTTTGTTTTAGGTGATGAAGCGGTGATGAAGAAAAAATTGTTTGTTGAGAAGCAAGAAACTTTTAAAAGATTTGTTAAAATAACGTTAAAAATTCCTACCAATTAGTTTTCATATTTTTTGTTTTCAATAAAATCTATTTTTACAAAACTTTCGAAATTAAAGTACTGCAGTATTTGCAAGGAACGACTCGTGTATTTTTTATCAGTCGTTGTTTTCAATATTATTGTCTTTTTCTGTTTCTGTCTTTTCTATTTTATTTATCTTTTTGTTTGTTTATGTGGTATAATTACAAGATCGTATCTTTCGTCTTCATTTGTTCTTGAGAAATCAGATTGTTCTTTAAATAGCATAATTTTCTTGTCAATAAAGAAAAATTTTAATTTACTGCGTATAGAATTCTGAAGACATATACTCTTTGCGGTTTGCGTCGTACTATCATGTATTATCTTGGTCCGTCGTTCAATCGATGTTTACGCCATGATCTTGTTCTTCGTTAAAAACCTGGCATTTCTCGTGTATTGTTTGAAATATTGGCGTAGATTCATTGATACGTAGAGACATATCTATTACACTGTCTGTTCCATCTAACATTTTGCAATTTTGGTCTTTTTCTAATTCTATTTTGATAAATCTAAATTAGTTAAGGTCGTCACGCTATCTTATTTTCGGCCGGAAAAATTCGTGCAACTTCTTAGTCTGATACCAATCTTAATCTTACTGATTTATCTCCTAGTCTCGATAGATCTAGTGTATAGTGGTATTTGCGAGTTATTCTTGGAGCTTGTCCAAAAGGAGAACAACTGTAGTCTAAGATTTATTGAAACTGTTCTGGTGCTGAAACTACAAGTAGTTCCAGCACTACAATTAATTGTCAGTATTAGTGATGGAATATGATTGGTTAATTAGTAATATTTTATAGGGATAGTTCTATCAATAATGTAATTGGTTATAAATATTAGTTAAGAACTGGTTCAAAAATGAGTGTAGCTGTTAGTTAATTTTAAATTAACTTTTTCATAAACAGATTGGGACAGACTGAGTATTATGTGTTCAACACATACCCTAGCAGCTGGAGAAGAGTCTGCTCTATCACACTGATTTGTTCCACCGTCTCTCTTCGTAGTGAATTCCTTATCTGGTCCAGCAAGTCTGTTTTCCCTGGTCCCAGGTCTCAGTGGACCCGCCGATTCAGAAGAATGAGCACCTGTCAATAAGCTGAAAAAGTCAACTTCAGCATCTGAACCTAAGCACAGAGTCAACGCATCTAGAGTTGAAACTTCTGGTTTTCCACTTTTCAAGCCGCCCACTTGTTTATTTGGTTGCTTCATCTCATTCAGAGTTTTCTCATTTCGATCACACAGATTCGCAAAAGTTTTGAACTTCTTTTGGCTCTCCTTCGATATCTGGCTGATACTCTTCTTGATTTCTTCGTCCTTATTGTTTCTCTCGTGACCTTTCAAATCTTCCATCAATTTCTCCCCTAATTCTGCCACCTTCGAAGAACTCGAATCAAGCCCGACATACTCTTTCCAAAGTTCATTCAGTTCTCTTAAACTGTGAGCCCTTGTTCGGAGCAACTCGTTCACAACATCAATTTCAGTCAGAACCTCTGCCATTAGTTGCCTTCTTTTCTGATTGTCCGCGATCACTTTCTCGTAAACAGATATGGATGATTCAAGGTTCACGCGTTCCATAGCACCCAGTAAGTCTTTCTTTTGCTTGACTCTCGTAAGCACTACTTTATGCTCGCTGTGGTCGTTTCCCCAGCAAAGGTCACAGATGCTGATATCAAAAGTATCACAGAAATACACAAGGGACATGTCGCTATGTTGGACACAGGACTTCGCACCAGCGCTCACACTCCGAGTTTGTTTGTCTCCCGTGTCCGCAATTTTCAGACCTTCTGGAAATTTCATCAGGACATAGATCGGTTGCAGTTCGCTCACGTTAATATGATGTGTTTTTCTGCAATTCGGACAATCAGCTGACAAGTCGTTTCTGTTCAGGGCCAAGATGCACCCCCTTTCTGGCCCGCAGAACATGTGTCCACATGGAAGCAGCCTGGGATCATCGAGCGTGTCGCAGCATATGGAACACTCGAAGTCTTCCATTTTTTTAATCAGACAATACCACACGCAATAAAAAGAGCGCGTTATTGTTTGACAAACTAACTTCAATCTGAGAGACTGTTTTGTTACTTGTAAAACTGGTGCGTTACACTAACCATGAGAAGAGAGAAAAAAGCTGAAAAAAAAACATTTAACAGCAGCATATGGAACACTTGAAGTCATCCATTCTCTTTTAAGATCAATACCACACATAGCAAAAATGAGCACGATATTTCTGAGAGACTAATTTCAAACAAAGATTCTGTTTTATTACTTGTACTGCATGAAATCAAAAACATAGCTTGTTAAAAAAACAGCTGAAGAATCGATTCGCATGATACTCGTCCGAATGACAAACCAATGAAATTTTATTGATTATTGATTCGACTTTTGTAACGAAAGTAACGGAATAATTTTGCTCGGGGTGGGTTTTTCTCTTCAGACAAATTTCGACTTTTTAACTGGCCTTTTTCGACGTATTTTTTGCATTGTTCAAAAGGTATTGTTGTTTTGAGCTTAAATTTGAAAATACATTTTACCTGTGATCATTTTCGAAAAGTTATGGGGGTTTAAAGGTTGCCATTCTGGCCAATTTTGGAAAATTAACGCGCGATATATTTCGCGCTACTAACAAGTATGCCGAGATTTAATATGACTTAGAAATCGTTCTAAATTGCTTGAAAAACGCTCATTTGCCATAATGGATTTCATACAAGGTGCGAAATCTATCACTTCGTAACTTTATATGGCGTGCGGGGGGATGAGTTTTAGAAAAAAAAATCTCAAAATAAAAAAAATCAATTTTATTTTATTTCATTTAATTTTTGTATGTTATTACGGCTCCATAGACTTTAAAAGGCAGTCCAAATTTTCAAGGCTTCGCCCTGATACGAGTAGTCTTGTTTTACTATTAACTAAAAAACGCTCAGAAGACAAAAAACGCCGCTTCTTATTGGAAGAACAAAGTCCGAAATAACTCAAGTCTTAAAATGGAGCGTTTAAATTAATTAGTAGCACGTTAGACTAACCATACGACTATAGAGTAGAATACATATAGTTTTATGGTTTTAGTCTTATAGTCATAACTTCTTAATACATATACTCTCATTCTGAGACGGGATTGCTATCTCATGGAGAAAGTTGAACAAGACTGTTTGTATCAGGGCGAAGCCCTGAATGTTCCGACTGCCTTAAAGGTCTATGCAGCAGTAATAACATGAAAATTTTAAATGTAATAAAATAAAAATGATTTTTAAAAAAATTGAGATAAAGTGCAAAATGATAGATTCTGCTCCTAGTAACAAATCAATTATGGCAAATAAGCTTCCCCGAACCAATTTGGAACGATTTCTAGGACGGAATAAATCTCCGCTTACGCGTTAATAGTGCCAAATATATTGCGCGTTAATAGTCCCAAATTGGCCAAAATGGCAATCTATAAACCCCAGTAACTTTTTGAAAAATGATCACAGGTGAAATATCTTTTCAAATTTGAGCTCAAGACAACAATACTTTTTGAATGAAATTTAAAAAATCCGTCAAAAATGGCTAGTTAAAAAGTCGAAATTTTTCTGAAGAAAAAAAACCCAACCCCGAGCACAAATATTCCATTACTTTTGTTACAAAATTTGGAACGATTCGAGTGCACTGTCTGTTTTTTCGAGCTATCCTTAGTTACGGGACAAAGAAGTTGCAACTTTTTTTTATCAAGGAAAAGAACGAAATTTTTTTTCACATTTTTATCCTTTACTCTACAACTATAATTGATTTTTTATTAGGAGCAAAGACTATCACTTTGTACTTTATATGGCGTGTGGAAGGCTGATTTTTGCAAAAATCTTAATTAAAAAAAATTTCAGGTTTAATTGTTCATGTTATTTTAACTTTTTCGAATTAAATTTTTCATGTTATTACCGGTCCATAAAGCTTAGAAAGCAGTCGGAACGTGAACACAACCAATCAAAGTTAATGGAAGGTTGCTACCTAAGGAGTAATCTTTAGTATATTCGCTAAAGTTATAAGGTTGGGCGATTATTATGAAAAACAACAAGAGATTATTTATCTTTCTCAAAAGACAATGATCGCCCGCTTGATAAACATATATATATGAAATGACGATAAATTTTAAGATGCAAAAATCTTTCTTTATTGCTTGGTAAAAGACTTCATGATCGAGTCTGTTTTCAATTCCATTTGCGACTTGTGAGCAATGTACTTTCTTTTTTGAGATTTTTGCTGTAAATGTATATCCTATAAGTGTTGTAGCTCGTGCTTTCGAGTAAAGTGTTGATACTAAAATTGTTGATTCTATCTTTTGTGGTTCGGGTTCACATTGTGTTACTTGATTAATTTCGTAATTATGCAAAATGTTTTGTTGATTTTCTTTACAACCATAATGAGTAACTAAGAGGTCTTGTAGTCTTGTTCGGGGGAAAGATTTTTATGAGATGTGGTTTCTAAGAGTAAAAAGGGGTAAATTGTTTTATGAAAAATAACTATTAAAAGTTACATGTGTAAGATAATGCTGAATATGAGTTGTAGAATGTTATATATCATATAGTCTTTTTTAAATATCTATCGTATTTCTAGACAAAATCTGTTGTGATGAATGGAGGAAAAAAGATTGAGCTGTTATATTTGGTGGGGCTAGATGCAGTGGTTGATGGTTTAAACTTTTTATTTTTACTATTTTTTCAAATTTAAGTGTTAAGTTATCTTGAGTAAGGATTTGTATATTATGTTCTAGTAATTCTTTGTGAATGTCGTGTCTTCTTTGTAATCGCTTTAATGCCCAATTCTGTAGTCTATTACTATCAAGATGTTGGCCAAATTTGAGGAAGGGGTGCAACAAACGTTTTCCAGTATAATTGTAAAGGAACATTTGTGCTGAGAAGTTATCGATGTCGATCGTCTAGACTTGTAAGGAAATTTAGGGAGAGCGTAGTGCTTTGAGTTTGACCTGTTACTGAAGTGGTTAATGGTAGTGATAGGGTTTCTGGCAAGGATAAAGAGGCATTGGATGAAATCACTATTTATTCGTTTTCTAAGTTTGGTTCCTTGTGTCAGCTAATGAGTTTGTTTATGGCTTGTGTCAGCTAATGAGTTTGTTTATGTTTGGAAGTTGGTGTTAATCCTAAATAGACCGATAGGATAATTGGGGTATTTTGTTGAGACATTTTTTGTAGTGATGGGGGAGTACTTTGAATTGTATTGCTAGAAGATCCAAAGGGCTCGAAGAGAGTGATGAAGGTATATATACCAAAATGAACTCTGGGTATTGCAAAGTCTCGACTTCATCGAGGATGGATAACTTGGCGATAATCATAAGCAAAAATCTGAAGTAAGGGGTAAAGGTTATATGTTGGTTCTTATCGTGGTTCACTTGGGGTTGCTTGACGAATTGCTGCTATCAAAGGATGGTGCGTGTCTTTTTTTGAACTTATAGAGATTTTCTTAAAATGAAATACGTGTAGATGATTGGGGTTAACTTTTTTGACTGTATGTTGGTGTTGTTGGAATCCATTTGCGAATATTTTGGGACAACAGGTGGTTTTATTGTTGATTGAATGGTAGTCTTTGGGAATTGAGTAATTTTGTTATTCTGGAGTTGTAAGTGTAGGGTGATTAAAAAGATGCTTTGTTTTGTTGTTGTAGGCCTTGTTTCAACTATTTACTCGTCAATAAAATGTGATGGGGTTTTAATATCTTGTTTTGTTAGACTTTTTGTTTCATTTAGCGTTTCTTGTGTGTTTATAAATTTGAAATTAATCTAAATCCTGTTCTATCAATAAACATTGTGTTATAGTTTAAAGGTGTTGCATCAATAGTATTTGAAAAATTCTTACGTAATCCTTGAGTAATGAAATAGTGGGGATTGCTGCAAATGAAATGTCAGTGGTTGTTTTAGTAAATAATGGTTGAGATCATTCGGGTCCCAAACAAAACCTGTTTGGTTGGCTAATACAGTTTCATCGTCTGAGGTTTATGGTCGAAAATTTTTTCTGGATATTGAATGAATTATGAATTGTTTACAAAAGAATCTATTATGGACCATGATAGGATTCGTTGTAAGTCATGTTTTACATTTTGTGATGTTTCGTTCCTAGTGATATTTTCAAGGATTGTTTCTAGAAGTTTTGAGAAAAGATCAATTTCTTTTCTTACAGTTGAGTGTCGAGATGTCTGAGGTGGCGATTCATTTGATGCGTCTTTTAATTCTAATATAGATATAAAACTATAAATAGAAGAGAAAACATCGTTTGTGAAGATTGAAATTGCTCTTTGTGAATTAGGATGTCATATATTTTTTATGTATTCTATGAAGATTTTTCAGAATTCTTGATATACATCATCTGTTTGTATTTGATGCCGTGTTTGATTTGGTTGTGCTGGTAAAATAACAATAGTGAATATTCCGTAATATGAAGTGATTTTACCAATGTTTTTTATGAAATCAAATATTTGTCTTTTTATTCTTATTTCGGGAAATTCCTGTGTGCATGGACTATTTCCTTTTTCGAATGAATTTTCAATTAAGTTATGACAAAACTGTACTGAGTAAATTGTACTGAGTAAATTGTATAGAGTAATCGTCGAAATTTTTGTCGTATTGTATATTATTTTGTATTCTAAAACTGTTAATGTGTAACTTTCAATGTGTATTTTTGGCTGATTCCCATTATATAGTTGTACCGGTTTATTAATATCTGATTCTATAATTTTGCGTTTACCCTTAGTTGATAATAGTGGTGTTGTTTCTGAGTTTAAAAAAAAACATTTCTGTTGGTATATTGGAGTACTCTTATTTATCGAATCTTTTGGCTCTTGAAGCTCTTGTACTGTAGTTGTGTCCAATTCCGAAACTGCGTTACGTGTTTTTGCAAATCTTCGTTTTTGTTTTGCTATTATTGTCTTTTTCTGTGTCTGTCTTTTCTATTTTATTTATCTCCTTGTTTGTTTATGTGGTATAATTAGAAGATCGTATCTTTTGTCTTCAATTAAAT